CCCCCCCCCCCCCCCGTTGTCTTACGTCCCTCTCTGGCATCGGAGTCTGGAACTCAGCTCTTCCACCGAGCAGCAGCCCCCAAAGGCCAAAAAGGCATGGATTCTAGGCACACGGTCTCTGAGCATGTCTAGAGTGCGTTTTCCGCGAGCCGCCAATCACCGTAATAGTCACCAGTCCAGTTTTTCCACCGAGAAAGACAAGATGGGCAAAAATTCAAGTCCTTCCAGAATTAGAGAGTCGGGAGGAACCTGGGAGGTCATCTAGTCCAACCCCTTGCACAAGTGGGAGATCCTTAGAGGGTTGGAAGGGACCTTAGAGATCATCTAGTCCAACCCCCTCCTCAAGCAAGAGACCCTTACACAATTAGAAAGTAGGATGGGTCCTGGGAGGTCATCTAGTCCAACCCCCTCCTCAAAAGCGGGAGACCCTTACAGAATGAAAGAGATGGAAGGGATCTGGGAGGTCATCTAGTCCAACCCCTTGCACAAATGGGGAGGGGCTTCCAAGAAGTTGTGGGTTTCCAACCCCCCCTCATTCCCCCCTCCTCACTTTTTGTGACCCCCCTCTCCCCTGCCCCCATGCAGGGTCTGGCGTAGAATGGGGCCCCTGGTCGGCGTGCTCGGTGCCCTGCGGGGGCGGCTACCGCAACCGGACCAGAGCCAGCATGAGCGTCTTGGGCCGGCTTGACTTCTCCACCTGCAACCTCCAGCCCTGCACAGGTGGGCTCGCTTTGCCTTCAATGGATGGATGGATGGATGGAGCGGTCAGAATGGAGCGGGAAGGGGCCTGGGAGGTCATCTAGCCCAACCCCCTCCTCAAAAGCGGGGAGACCCTTACAGAGAATTAGAGAGTTGGAAGGGACATGGGCGGTCATCTAGTCCAACCCCTTGTACAAGTGGGAGATACTTACAGAATGGGGGACTCGGAAGGGACCTTGGAGATCATCCAGTCCAACACCCTCTTCAAGCAAGAGACCCTTACATGATTAGAAAGTTGGAAGGGACCTGGGAGGTCATCTACTCCAACCCCTTGCACAAGTAGGAGATCTTTCAGAATGGGAGTCTCAGAAGGGGCCTTGGAGGTCATGTAGTCCAACCCACTCCTCAAGCAGGAGACTCTTACAGAATGAAAGAGTTGGGAGGGATCTCGGAGGTCATCTAGTCCAACCCCCCTGGCTCAATCAGGAGAACCCCACCCAACCACCACAGACCCTGGCTGTGGTGTCTCCTGAATCAAACCTCCTTCATCGAGAAATCAATTCTAAAACTTTTCCAACTAAGCTCTTTCTGTGGTTCCTTCCAACCAGGGGAGATTCCAGGCACCTGCCCGTCGGGGAAAGTATGGCGAGAGTGCGCTGACGGGCCGGGTTCCTGCGCAGAGCTCAGCATGGACGATGACGCTGGACAGACAGCATGCCGGCCGGGCTGCTACTGCCCCAACGGCACCCTCTTGCTGGTACATACCCCCAAAGTGTTTCCGCTAGCCGTCTCCCCCAAGAAATCGGCACTGCCGATCTGTATCTCTGCCCACCTGTAAATCTCTTGCGAAAGTTAGGTGGGGGTTAGGGTCTTTTGGAGGGTCTGACCTAGATTCATGAGGACTAGTGCCACAAGAGCAGAGGGAGCCGTGCCTGGAAGAAGGGGAGGCTGGTGCCTCGAATGGTCGAGGGCAATTCGCTGCAGCCAACTCCCCATTGCCAACTCTCTATGGCCAACTCACTATGGCCAACTCTCGATCTGGAGTTCTGTTACCGGCTACAGAGGCCTTCAGGAAAGCCTTGCTGGCCGGCAATTGTCCAAAATTAAGTAGTAGGGCATCTCCATCCCCACCCTAGCTTACATTTTTACCCCTGCCCCCTGGAGTGGGCAGGGGGTTAATTAGGCCTTATTTTGGGGGGGGGGGTAGAGCTTATATTGGGCACACATGTAAAAAAAGCCAAGCTAGGCCTTACTTTCAGGGTAGGTCCTATTTTCAGGGAAACGTGGTTGGTTGGCTGTGATAAGTTAGCTATGGTGAGATGTCCCTTTGTGGTCGCCAAATCCTTCTCCTCTTCTCCCAGAACAACCTGTGTGTGCCAGCAGAGGCGTGCCCATGTGCCGTAGAGGGGCAGATCTATGCATCCGGCGAAATGGTGGCCAAAGGTTGCGAGAACTGGTCAGTCTCCCGTCTCCTGTACAGTCCCACCGTCTCCTTCCTTACGTCGTCGCTTCCACGTAATTCGGATCTTTTATTTGTCCCCTCCCTTTTCGCAGCTCCTGCGTCGGTGGGCAGGTGGCCAATTGCAGCCGCGCGGCCTGTGGCGATGGTAAGCGAGGTTCTTCCGCTTCTGATGCTGTCCTCGTCCTATGACGGTTTGTTTAAGGCGCGTTCGCCATTCCAGAAACAAAATGACTAATGTCATAGTTTCACGCTTACGACCACCACCACATCCCCGCAGTCATGGCAGAATGTTGGGCGACCGAATCACATTTACGTCGCCTAAGCAGCGATCTTTGCTTAACGACTGGCTTTCCAACAGCAGGGATTTGCTGAATAACAGCAGTGAGGAACATCATAAAATGGAGCAAAGACGAATGTCTTACTTAATGACATCAATTTGGGGTTCAATGGTGGTTGTAAGTTGAGAATGGCCTACATTCACTCAGGACAGGGAAGTAGAAAGGTTTCTGGGGAATACTTCCTTTTAATGCCATTGGTAGGCTATCAAACGGGGCACAATTCACTTTACAGTGGTTTCGCTTAGTGACAGAAATGCTGTGGGCATAAGTCAAGGACTCCCTGCATTCAGAAAAGTTAAGCCGGATTCATGTCTGGCTAAGTTCATCAGTGCAGGGATTCACTTAACAGTGGGGGTCAGATAGGTCATAAAACGGGGAGGAGAGTCACTTTGCCACTGTCTCACTTAGCAACGGAAATGTTGGGGCTCCATTTTGTACACTAGTTGAGGACTGGCTGTCTTGGGATCAGATTTCTCTCCGGCAGATTCTTGATGGTTTTCAAAAAAGCGGGAAGTGTTGGTCCATTCATCCAAAGAGGCTCAGACTGACAAAGAAAAGCTGGAAGGGGTCTTGGAGGCCATCTAGTCCAGCCCCCTTGTCGAGCAGGAGACCCCCGACAGAATATCACTCAGTTGGAAGGGACCTCGGAGGTCTTCTAGTCTGACCCTCCCTATCGAGGAACCTCATACAGAATTACGCCCCCCCCACTCAAACAAGGAGCCCCTGAGGAATTATAGAAGGACAGACTTGGAAGGGACCTTCGAGGTCACCTAGTCCAGCCCCCTGCTTGAGCGGGGTTTCAAGGGTTTCTTGTTTGAGCAGGGGGCTGGACTAAATGCCCTCCGCACAAGGCCCCTTCCAACTCTCATCGTGTAAGGCTATCCTGCTTGAGTCGGGGGGCTGGACTAGATGACCTCCAAGGTCCCTTCCCACTCCAACCTTCCATTATTATTCTGCATTTGGGTTCCTTGGTACCTGCCTGAGCTGGGTAGTCTACTTTATCAAGGGTAGGGGGGTTGATAATCTGGGGAGGAGGGGGCAAAGACCCTTCCCCTTGCCCCGAGTTCCGATTTCCGTGATGGGCATCTCCTGATGGTCTCCTTTCCTTCTTCCTCACCAGTGAACGGTCTGTGGTCCGAATGGACCCCCTGGAGCGAATGCTCAGCCTCCTGTGGGCTGGGACTGCAAAACCGATACCACTTCTGCACCGATCCGGCCCCTTCCGGCATTGGATTGCCCTGCCTGGGGCCGGAACGCGAGGACCGCGCCTGCCAGCTCCAGACGTGTACCCGTAAGTCACCTCCGGTTGTTGTTCCCCCCCTCCCTAGGCAGTGGTGGTATTCAGCCTGGTTCGGCCTGGATCGGCCCGGTTTGGCCCAATTTGGCCCTTTCAGCCTGGTTCAGTCCAGATCCACCCAGTTCTGCCCGGTTCAGCCTGGTTCAGGCAGATTTGGCCCAGTTCAACCCAGTTTGGCCTGGATTGACCAAGTTTGGCCCCGTTCAGCCCAGTTCAGCCTGTTCAACCTTTGGTCTGATTTGGTCTGGTTTGGCCCAGTTTGGCCCTGTTCGGCCCTGTTTGGCCCAGCTTGGCCTGGTTCAGCCCAGTTCAGCCTGGATCGGCCTGGATCGGCCCAATTCGGCCTGGTTTGTCACGGTTCGGTCCTGTTCATCCATGTTTGGCCCCATTTGGCCCAGTTTGGCCCGGCTTGGCCCAGTTTGGCCTGGTTTGGCTCGGTTTAGCCCAGTACTGCCCAGTACAGCTCGGTTCAGCTGGTTTGGCCTGATTTAGCTCAGTTCAGCCTGGTTCCGTCTGGTTTGGCCCCGTTCAGCCTGGTGTGTCCTGGTTCGGCTCAGTTCAGCCCTGATCAGCGAACCGGATGTGAAATTAACAGCCGGTTCACCCGAACTGGTGCGAACCGTTAGCCTCCCACTCATCCTGGTCCCTTGCCTGAAACGGCATAGGGCCTCCTACTCAAGGTGGGGGTTGGACTAGATGACCTCCAAGGTCAACTTACCGGAGATTTGCTGAATGTTGCCAAAAACAACAATCACCGAATTGGAAGGGACCTTAAAGGTCATCTAGTCCAACCCCCTTGCTCAAGCAGGAGACTCTTACAGAAGGAAGGAGTTGGAGGGGACCTCAGAGGTCATCTAGTCCAACCCACTGCTCAGTGGGGGGCAGTTCTGTAACCGACACCTCTTCTGTGCAGGGCCCGGGGATTGGGGGTTTTGGAGTCCCTGGACGTCCTGCACCGTCAGCTGCGGTGGGGGCCTACGGAGCCGGAGCAGAGCCTGTGACAGCCCCGCCCCCCGCGGGGGCGGAGACTACTGTGAGGGACCGCCCACTCAGGTGGAGTCCTGTGGCTTGAACCCTTGTCCAGGTGAGTTGTGGGAAATCACTTGGGATGCAACCCGTCCTTGGTTCTACAACAAACGCTGCATTTAGTGTCCAGCCGAAGGCCCTACAAAACTGCGATGTAGGGCCGTTTCTCACAGTTATGACCACCATAGACTCCCTTTATGACCCTCGTGGGGTCCTCCAAGCTGAGAGAGCTTCTCCCCTGGGCTTCATCAAATTTGATTCACTTAATGACCGTGCAGGGATTCAAGGACATGAATGGGCAAAAGAAAAGAGAAAAATCCCTGGAGTTACCTCACGCAAATGGTTGTTCAATGAATCTGGCTTCCCCAGTCACAAAGTGAATTGGGCTTGCCTAGTTCTTCAGTGAGCTGTGTCCCCTTTCTTGCCTTGGTCATTAAGTGAAGCACTCTGGTTGTGAGGGCTGGAACATGGTCACCAGGTGTTTAGCACGTTTGGTCCCCATTTCATTACCTTTCTCGCCACCGTCGTTAAGTGAATTGCCCCAGTTGTGAAGCCGACCTGATGGTCATTAAGCAAATCATGCTTGCCCCGTTGACTTGGCCGCAAAACAGGGATTGCGGGACTGACACCCCCCCCCCAGGGTACCCCTAGACAAACCCGTTGCCAAGAATTCGAATTCGGATTCTGGGTCCCATGGGAACACCGCCACGTTTGTAAGTGTGAAAAAAATGGTCACCAACCAATGGTCGTAAGTCGAGGACAACTGGAAAGGAACAAGGGGAGGGTCTTTCTGGTGATTGTAGGGCGGGGGGCTGAGAATTGGTAGTCCCCATTGCCCCATCGCTGAGGATTTATCCGAATCAAAGTCTCTCCAATACAACAGGAAAGCCCCTCCCCCTTGGACCGGGGAGGGGGAGGGCGGGGTGAAAATATTCCCGGGGGGGGGTTGTCTTTCTCATTGGTTTTTTTGCCCCTTTTTATACCCCCCTCTTCATCAGATTTGAACTGTTCCGTTTTGGAAGACTCGGCTTATAGTCGCTGCGGACCGCCCTGTCCTCGTTCTTGTGATGACATCACGGTGAGCTCATCTCTTTCAGTCCTCCCTCCCAAGACCCCCACCCACCTCTTCTCCGGCCAAGGGGGTCTCGGGCGCAATGAATACATGATGGGTTGCGGGGTTGACAATGTAGTAAGACGCCACCGCACCCCAAATGCCAGCCGTCTTCGGTGCTTCTGTTTGGAAGGTCCACAACCTGTGGGGCGCAGTTCGCTACCAGGCCACCGGGCCCTGTGAGCGGCTGGCTGGGGCGCATGTGCACACCTGCCCCCCCCACTCATGCTAGCGCTGCAGCCTGACGCCGTCGCTAAGAGTGCAGCAAGCATTGTATGGGCGCTTGTGTCACCGCCAGTGCACACGCCCCCATTCGCGCTAGCATTGCGGCTTCACATGGGCAGTACCACATCCCCCACTTGCGCCAGCAACACGGCTTCATGTGGGCGCGAATCGTCTCGCTCTCCTGCTACTGTTTTTTCCCTGAAAATAAGACCCGGCCTTGTATTTTGTGGGGTTCTGAAATAAGCTCTAGGGCTTACTTTTGGGGAAACACAGTTTCAGGGTGATCCCCCCAGCTGGAAGCCCCCCCTGAGGTGCACCGGAAGCAGCTGAATCTGGCAGGAGCTGCAGCCCCACCGGCCCTTTGCTCGGCGCACTCGGGGGGCTCCGCAGCTCACACAATGCAGATGATTCCTGATCCAAGCAGCAGGGGGAGGCAGAGGCCACGCGGGGGGTGGAAGCAGGGAACCTGGGCGCTGTGCGGGCCGCGGGAAAGCCTAGAGTGGGAGGTTCCTTTTTCCTCCTCCTTCTCCCTCTTCCTCCTCCCCCTCCTTTTCCTCCTCCTCTTCCTTCTGCTCCTCCTGCTCCTTCTCCTCTTCCTCATCCCTCCTCTTTCTCCTTCCTCATCCTCATCCTCCTGGATTGGTGCATTGTTAAAAAACAGGTTATTTTGGGGTAGGGCTTATTTTCAAGGAAACATGGTAGCGTCACGGCAGTACCCAGCGCTGTCGTCTCCATGAGTGCAGCTCCCACTCGTGTTAGTGTTGCGGCACGGCACGGATGCTCTCCGCCTTTTCTTCTTCTTCTTCTTCTTCTTCTTCTTCTTCTTCTTCTTCTTCTTCTTCTTCTTCTTCTTCTTCTTCTTCTTCTTCTTCTTCTTCCTTTTCTTCTTCTTTTTCTTCTTCTTGTTCTTCCTTCTTTTCTTCTCTTCCTTCTTTTCATTCTTCCTTCTCTTCTTTTTCTTCTTCTTTTCTTCTTCTCCTCATTCTTCTCATTCTTCCTTCTCTTCTCCTCATTCTTCCTTCTCTTCTTCTTCTTCTTCTTCTTCTTCTTCTTCTTCTTCTTCTTCTTCTTCTTCTTCTTCTTCTTCTTCTTCTTCTTCTTCTTCTTCTTCTTCTTCTTCTTCT